TGACTATTGCGTTTCAGTATCGGATAACAATATTAGTCACTGATAATGGAAGTAACGAAGAAGCCAAGTTTTGCTCTGTGTATCGATTTCGTTACACCAGTGTTGATGGAAATACAGGCTTAGTATCTGTGATCATTTATTATGCACACAAGGATACAAAAAGCTGTTCTTGGAGCAAAGTTGGTCTGATTTTATATCTCAAATGGCTCCCATTACCTTGAACTGAAACAAAGACTGCTTTAGCTGATCACAAATACCGATGTGTATGGGGTTAAGGTTACATAACGGTATAAAGAGCACATGAACTGGCAATGATGCCAATAATAATCAAGACTCCCATAAAACTGTACGACGAAGTGATAAGTGTATAATTTTCATTCTGGTCGTAAGCTGAAGCTGTCCAAGTGTACAACATGCAAGTGAGCATGATATAGCTTGCAATACAACCATGAGATTACCCAGCGAAGCCTGCAACACGGCGGAGTTGCTAGATGATTTTCGGGTTTAGCGTTAGTGCCCTAAAGAAATTTTGACCCTCGAAAAATGATTTGGTTTTTTTCCTATATCATTTTCAAAATAACCTACTTTAATTTCTGTGAGAAGTTCAAGTATTGCTCCGTGCCATCAACTTCCATTCAAGGTCTCTGACAGCGCCCATTACACGGGGCGGTGAAGGTCGATAAGACGCCGTCTGAAGAAGTGACAATTTCCAATGGACGCTAACGCGATTAAAATTTTCAAACCATCTAGCAGTTTTATATTGCATCTCCACCTGCTACTCAGGATTGTTTGCCGATTTGCCAAGACAGAGGTAACAAAGAATCGTTTAAAATGTGCTTCAGAATATAGTGAGTTACTGTTTGTGGTCATATTTCGTGTCATCTGTCCATGATAAACGAATGACACAAAGGAGAGAAAGCCCACATTTTATAGCCGTAATATGCAACAAAACACTATTCAGCTTTGTCCTTAGACACCCACAAATAATTAATAAAACATGGGGAAAGAGAAAGTTAACGCTTTGATAAGGATAAAGCGATAAGGTCGCCGTTTCATATAGTAATCATAACCGTCTTTATATCGTCGATGTCTGCGACATTTGATTTTGGTTCATTGAATTGACAAAAATCAAGAATTAATTGAGGAATCACTCTTCGTGTTACTTGCCTCGCCGTCTCCTTTTCTCCTTTTGTTCGAATGTGTAATCATATTCCTTTGGACTTGACTTATAAATAGTTTCAATTTCATAATAAATTTTTTGTTTGGGTTGATCGGAGTCCACCCGGGGCCGATTTTCTCTTTACCTAAGGTCACTAGTCCACTTCAACTCTTGCTCTTCGTTGGTGCAGTCACTTTCCGTATCACTCTCTGAACTCTGATGAAGGGCTCATCTGGGGTAAGGAAAATGCAACTGTAAGTCCATTTGTCTTTGCTATTGCTCGTCCAATTGCCTTTGCTATTGTTTGTCCATTTATCTTTGCTATTACTTGTCCATTTGTCTTTGCTATTGCTTGTCCATTTTTCTTAGCTATTGCTTATCCATTTTTCATTGCTATCGCTTGACCATTTTTCTTTGCTATTGCCTGTCTATTTTCCTTTGGTATTGCTTGTTCATTTGTCAATGATATATCATTTTCATTAGTCTTGTTATTGCTCGTCCATATGTATTTGCTATTGCTTGTAACTTGTATGGTTTGAGAAAACATTCCTTCTCAAAAAAAGGTTGGCAAGTTAATTGAACTGGTGTTGATATGGCTGATTTTTATTTTCAGATTTTGTTGTTAGTTCTCTTTCTTTGCCACAAGTTTGCTAGAACACATTTAACTTCCTATTCGACCTTTTCATCAATGGACAAAGGGCCTTCCGATGGTGGTGCCACTCTTAGCACCCAATCTGATCAATTCAATCCAAATCAAAATTCTGTCCTTAAACATTTGGTGACTTTTGTTGATTCCTTTGGCTTCTCACGTGACATTCTAAACAAAACACTTTTTGCACAATATACTCACAGAGCTTGCATATATCAGTCAATAAAAACACGAATAAATCTGAACACACGTTGAGGGCTGGGGAAACCTTCATGTTCCGCGCCTAGTGCATCCTCTGGGTTGGGTCAGTTGGTTCTGGAGCAGTGGCTAAGCTGCGCATGTAAGCGATAAAGTAGTAGAAGTAATTTTCAACACGTTATATTTGATCACACTGATGCGACGATTCATTTCTTGTTATAATAACCAGACCTGCTTTATCTTTTTCTGTTTCTTTTTTTAATTGATAACTTCACTTGACATTGAAACACATGGACTTAATTGAAAGGTTCAGAGGTGAAGCCTAGTTTGTTTTCAGGTAAGACAATTCGTTAGGGAGCCAAATAATAAGTGAAAAAAAAAAAGATTTTCGTAGGTTAATTGCAATTGGCATTGCAAAAAGAGAGGACTAAAGAAGAAACTTCCTTCTGCTGCACGGCCAAGGTATGTTAAGGGTGGATAATCAAGTTGTGCCCAGTAAGGTATCTCTCTTAACAATATACCCTAATACAAGGAAATATATGAAGTTCATATATTTTGAACTGCGGTATTAGATACATATTGTGAACGATCCTCGCAGTAGATAGCGCTATTTAAGCAATAGCGAAAATCAGACCTGAAAAAAATCAGGCCTGTACGGGACTCGAACCACTGACCTCTGCGATACTAGTGCAGCGCTCTACCGATTGAGCTAACAAGCCAACTGGGAGCAGGCCGTTAAGTTGATTCGTAATAAACCCGTGAAAGTGATAAATGAGATNTTGACATTGAAACACATGGACTTAATTGAAAGGTTCAGAGGTGAAGCCTAGTTTGTTTTCAGGTAAGACAATTCGTTAGGGAGCCAAATAATAAGTGAAAAAAAAAAAGATTTTCGTAGGTTAATTGCAATTGGCATTGCAAAAAGAGAGGACTAAAGAAGAAACTTCCTTCTGCTGCACGGCCAAGGTATGTTAAGGGTGGATAATCAAGTTGTGCCCAGTAAGGTATCTCTCTTAACAATATACCCTAATACAAGGAAATATATGAAGTTCATATATTTTGAACTGCGGTATTAGATACATATTGTGAACGATCCTCGCAGTAGATAGCGCTATTTAAGCAATAGCGAAAATCAGACCTGAAAAAAATCAGGCCTGTACGGGATTCGAACCACTGACCTCTGCGATACTAGTGCAGTGCTTTAGTATCTCTAGGCTTGTTAGCTCAATTCGTAGAGCACTGCACTAGTATCGCAGAGGTCAGTGGTTCGAATCCCGTACAGGCCTGATTTTTTTCAGGTCTGATTTTTGCTATTGCTTAAATAGCGCTATCTACTGCGAGGATCGTTCGCCATATGAATATACCCTAAGTGGTAAAAATCTTTTAGACTGGAGCAGTAATTCACTTTAATGAACTTTGAAAAGACAGAAAAGCTTTACGTCCATCTTTGCTGACGCAGACAAATGAGCCCTTAGTGGAGTTATGCTCGCTCAGGTACTAAAATATATCTATGAGTCAATTTTAGCGTGAACTCGTGATGAGCTTCCGATTCTTATTTTCTACTCAGGGAACAGAATTATGTAATACCAGGAACAAGTTACTGTCTTCTCATCTGATACAGGAATGATCGGTATAATTTTTTCCAGGGAAGCGATAAATCGCAACCCGCCGGCATGAGGACTCTAGAAAAGTCAATATCGAATGAAGAAAGTTAAAGGGCGTATATATTCTCAGCCGACACAGGATGACTGCTATACATGATACGATCGCCTGTGTCCTTCGTTGTGTTTATTCGTTGTGTTTATTCAGTTTTTCGGCAAGCAACAAAGACATTTCAGGCTTTTTGTGCCAAAAAATGCTTCTCGTCAACATGGTGAACTGAACCGATAGTGTTCCTTCTTTAATACTGAAAATCGCTTTCGTGACTAATCGCTGGCATGGGCGGTGCAGACTCATTCATTAATTAAAACCCCACATTTGTTTGGTGTGTTCAAATGGACTTTGACTCAAATAGCCAACGCTTCTATTTTCGGTTTCGGCTGCAACTCTACGCGAGATGGGTTTTCGAAATTTTCTGCGAAGCCGTAAAATTCGCTTTATTCAGATCGGTTTTTAAGGAGAAATAAGGCGGTGTTGTTACCAAGGTCAACTTGATGCTTTTTTTAAGATAACTGTTCCTTCAATCAACAGTTCTCAACCCTGAATCACGCATACAGCCGCACGCGCCCGTGAACGGATGTTATGTAATTCTTATGGTTAGACGCTCAATGCTGAAGACACACTTAAAGCAGATATTGTTTAAAAAGGCTGGAAATGGTAACAGTTAGACACTTAATGACATACATTTTTATGATTAACTAACAAATGCCAGACTCCAGATATTTCCGTACAGTTTATCGTAGACACCTATTCATTTATCACTCCTCAGGTGACGCCCAGAGGTTCATTAATTTGCGACAGTTCTTTCCAGGGTTATATAACAACAGAATTTATCATAAGATTCATGTCATCAATCTACCATCTGTTTCACCTATGCCATCCACCCTGCGTCGGTCAAACTGTTGTTAGATCTTTAGTCAAGATTATTTCTCAGTTGACTGTGAAGAGGCACGTTACCTAAAAGTAACAGCAAAGCTCTCTCTTTTTCCAGCATTTTCATTTCGTTTTTCAAAAAAAAGAAAACAAGTGCTAACAAGCGAACAAAAAGAAATGGTGGCGAGTCAACTGCTGCTTGGAACAAAGCTTCCTGAAAAGCTGTTATCGTTGTTTCAGAGAAAGTAGATTGAATAATGTCTGATTCTGAGAAAACGACTTCCAAAAGTGATAGTTTGGTTGGAACCTTTTTACTGGTAAGTTCAGTCTAGACTTAAATTTTGACTCCAACTGAAATTTTAGACAATTTTATTCTAATGTGAGTTCAAATCATTTCCAAACGATTACGATATCATTTCTTGATGCTGTTACTGGTCTTTGTTCAACATTTTAAAGCTAATTTAGGTTAATTCGAATATTTCAGGGAACAACTTTTGTCACAGAACTGAGCAGTATTTTTTTTCCAATTCTTCTTGGTATTACATCGTCGTTATGGCGATAGTTGTAGAATAGGGCTGCAATGAAACTTTGTAACTTCGAAAGCGTGCTAAATTTTCTTCAACTGAGAACACGTGTGACGTGACTTCCGGTGAAATCCTAGCAGTTTGAAAGGCGTTCTCACTGACACTTGAGTGGATATCTGCAAAGAGCTCATGTGTGTTCAAATCATTTCCAAACAAAAACGATATCAGTCCACGAGGTGACTTCAGGTCTTTGTTCTGCATTTTTAAGCTGAGTCAAGTTAACTCGAACATTTCAGAGATTAAATTTTTGGTCAAAAATAGGAAGTGTTTTTTTAATTCTTCTTGGTATTAACTTCATTATCATATGGATAATTAAAGAATAGGGCTACAATGCAACTTTGTAACTCCGAACACATGCTAAAATTTTCTTCAACTGAATACTCTTGTCACAGGCAAGAATTGCGGTGAAATCATAGCAGTTTGTAAGGTGTTCATCTCAGCATCCGCAAAAAGCACATCTATCTACAGTTTTGATGGTTATTAGGATCCTTGAGATCACCAAACATGTGTCACTAAGAAAGCGTCATCTGCTTTCAAATGAATTACATAATCTCTTCAAGTGAATGCAAAATAAATTTACAAACCAATCATGGTTATGTAACCATTTGACAATGGCAATATATTTGTCCCGATGTTACACAATAAGAAGAGACGCACCATTAAGCTAATTTGTTTTAATCTCCCAAAATAAAAACTTCAATACGAAAATAGGCACAATAAGAAATCTATCACCCAACTTCGTTCCTTCCCCAAGAATCTGTCTGTTAACACACTTGTGCATTTCCTTTGTTTACTTTGGAACATTCGTCCTCTCTGACCTGAAAAAGTAGATCGAGTTAAAAGGTCCCAAGGATGGAAACAGATATACAAAGTTAAGTCAATCTAGACTAAAACTTTGTATTAGCTACTTGATCGATTCTTTTTGACGGAAAGACGTCCTCAGAATTAACTTGAGAGGATAATCTTCTCCTAAAATGATTATCATCCCGAAAAAAAACTCACTTTTCCTGAAGTGGCGCTTCAACAGAGGCTGATAAAAAGCTATATTTAACTTTGTATCACTGTGACTTCAATAAATTATTAGTTACAGGCGACGATATTTATTTTTAGATTCACGTGTGCTGGACAGGAGATGAACGGAAGTTATATAATCACACTGATTGACCTCCATATCACCTACATAATGAACCTTCGTATGAGTGCGTTTTAAGTTTATCAATTGATGAAAATTCAATGAGTGGAGATAAATCAACGTCAGTCCTTGTCAATCGATTAGCGAAAAAATAATTGAATGAGAGAGACAAAACAAAACAAACCTTGAACTGATGCTCCCAGGTGAACAGGACTGAATTGAAGGCACCGAGCACGACCCTGTGGAAACTTCCATTTTCCCAGCCTTTTTTCCCTCGATGTTTTCCATTGTGGTTTAGCTAACTGTCAGGATCAGTTGGTTTTTTTCTATTACATCTGCAGGTCAAAATATGAAACATTTCAATAACTTAGTTATATTACCGCCCAATCGATAAGCAACCCACAGTCGAGTCACTCTATCGTTAATGTGAACAGTCCATCAATTGTTCTGTGCTGAAACAGTTACCCACTTATGTTTGACCATCGCACCACCCGCTTGTGATGGGGAGCCGTGGTCAGTGCTCCTCAATAAATGTTGACACCTGTTCTCTGAACTGCGGCAGCTTAAGACATCGGTGAAACGAGGATGAATCACCAGATATCAGTTACTGCCAGATATGAATTATGTTTCATCGGAGATTATATCGCGAAATGATGTGGCTGGCTCCCTAAGCTTTTCTTACAAATGGAAGCTCCTTTCGTTGTCACTGAAACAAGTGTAATGTTCATCTCTTATAACCATAACATCCTTCGTAAGCCACCAACTTATTAACAAAAACTAGCTCAAGTTCCACCTATAGATTTAATCGAGCGCTTCTTTTTCATTCTCGGTCTTCGAGAACTCATCGGCTCTGAGTTATTTCAAATTGTGTAGCAGGCCAACCGGAGCAAGCAGAAGTTAGTGATGAAAAGATGGCCTTCAACACGACGATAAAAATAATAAGGGAGTAGCAGTTGCAATTTCTTTTCGAATCTAATTGATAACTACGTTTTTATCAACTTTGTGATTCACGCACAAGGAGTATTGAGATTTTTAACTGTTAAAAGTTATTACTAAGTTTTTCTCCCAAATTCTTCGTAGCAATCGCAATCGTTTTGCGTAGGAAACAAGAACTTTGCACGTATTCAAATTCAACTCCCTCACCTGTGGATTGTTGCAGTGAGAACTTAAGACAAAGCTAACAACAAAAATAAACAACCAAAACTACGCATCAAAAGCTTTCACACAAAGCACTCATTCCAAAATATTTTGAATCTTACTCAGTGTTCCTACTCAGTGTTCCCCTGACTGTGTATTTCAAATTCTTTTGGAAAAATCAAAACAGTAAGACCACTGTAAAACACTACTCATCGCCTCCGTCTTCGAGCCATCCTCTTGTTTCGCGTCACCGGGAATAGCCAAGTAAAATAATTTAAAAAAGAGAAGTAGTTTTTGTATCTACGGACAGCGCGTCAACGGGGGAAATATTCTCGCACAGGGTAAATTTTAAGAAAAAAGTCCTAACTGCACTTTATGTCATCCCGCCGTTTTGTTGAAGTCAACATTCATCTTTCAAAGCCTGTCACTTTTCTTCTTGCTGGTAGTATGTCTGCCCCTCCCTTCTTAGATACTCAGACTTTGCTCGAACGCCTTTGGTCTTTCAGCGCTTTCTGGAAAATCTCTTTCAGAATCTACAACCTGAGAACTCATCAAATGGAAAAGGAATTAAAATAAACAAGAATTAATCCCACTTCAATTCAATTTACCTCACTTGTCCCGTAATCTCACTAACCGTGGGAGCGCCAATGATGAGTTGTTAATCAATTCTCTCCATTCCAAACAAATTAAGTCAAATTTAGCGTATCGCTCGCCCTCAAACCAGTCCGTTGTTGGATTTTATTTTTCCTTTTATCTGAATCAATTCCAATCGAAAACAATACGTAGTTTGCCTTTTCTATTTTATGAGATACATAAATATTGTGCTGTCTCAAGTGTTGTTTCTGATGATGACTTAAAAGGAACATCACTTTTAATACCGACATCTACTGTTGGTAATACTTTGCTTGCTGAGACATTTAACCTATTGAACGTCATCTCCTATGGAAGGTCACTATGCTGGCAACAGTTTAAGGGCTCTAAGTTTATAAAGATAGTTTATCTACACGTGAAGCCAGACAACTTCTAGATAGACGCCAGCTTGGAGAAACCGGAACAGCCGAGTAATTTTCTTGTCTATGCTTAGAGTAAATATCTATTGTTATTTCATTTTTCAATCGTAGACAATAGCAGCTAAAACTTTTTAAAAGTTGCATTTGAGCTTATGTTGCAAGGAAGAATAACTGTGGTTTCTATGCTCTAAACGAGGTGTTATAAGATTGTAATTTCCGGTGATATCAAATCATTTCATGGTTTCAAATGATTTTCAGCGGTGTGGTTTTGTGCTTTCATGTTCGTGTACTAAACCAACCCTAAGGCCAACAGATGTCAACATGTACTCTACACCTCATTAGCAACGTTTCTCCCGAATGACACAAACAACTAAACGTTAAAATTAGTCGTTATCATAAAAAACCAAAATGACCACAAAGGGAGCAGAAAGTTGAAATCTCAGTAAATAAAGGATCGCGTCCTTATTTCACCAGCTATGAAACTTTCCAAACCATAAAATTGGCTGCGTGATTTTACAAGCGTTGCGTGTCTTGGCATCTCATTAATTGGACTGAATCATGCGAGAAGTCGAGACAGAACATTCCACATGACTCTGGCTGTCACGCTAACCGAAGACATCGAATTTTTCTGTTGAAAAATACGAAAAACAACCGCCCACTCCTCAAGGCTAGAAAATATCCATGGGCGAGTTAAAATTCTTTCAGCGTCCATTACTGCTGAGTGCGAATGAAAATATTCGTCATTAAAATCGTGACTGACGTAAAGTGAAAGTCTTAGCTTTTTAAGCCGGCGCGCGGCCAGCCTGGCGGCGGCAAGTCAATGTGCAGCCGACCTGTTGTCAATACCAAACAGACTCCTGTATCCAAATAAAAGTAACTCTGTAACAAATAAACAATTAATTAAGCTTCGTGAACAAAACTAAGCTTCTAAATCGCATCTGCTCCGAATGTTTTTCTTTTTTTGTAAAAACAGTTAAGTATTAGATTGCTCTCTATTGGAAAAGAACTTTCTGTAATGTTAAATACAGAAGCTATTGAATGACTCATTCATAACACTTGCGTCAATCCGTGGGTGTTGGGATATGTGTCTCAGTTAGGTGCCATAAAGTACATGCGCTGTTGTATTTACCTCGCACCCGCACGCCGCGATAAATACATTTTTTCCTTCAGTCACTAAACAGCTGAGAAAAAGAAGTGGCCATGCCAGCACCTTTTTGTGCTTAAAATAGCAGTGAGTTTATTCTTGGGACGCGGCTTAAACAATAGAGGAACTAAAATTCTACACAGGAGTTCGAAGAAGAATTTGTTTTGAGCTTAAAATAGCAATTGGTGACGCAGAAGAGGGAACTGACAGCTTAGTAGAGCGTGTAGACAGCGTGTCCTGGGTTACGCTGTAGAACGTTGTCGCTAGAGGAATGCACCCGACAATCACAAATGAAATGGCCACTGAGGATGGAAAGTTCTTCGCCGACGAGAACCCAATAAGCACAGTAAGCATTTCTATAATGTTAAATTTCATTTCAGTGTTGCTGTCTCCTTATAGAGAAAGTTAATAAGTGGTTACTTCTGGTGAGGTCTGCATGGTTCCACAGTCAACAAGTTGCTTACTTTAGTTCAGTAAAAAAGCCAATTAGATTTTGTTGTACATTCAATAGGATTTCTAGAAGAAGAAAATGTGGAGTGTCTTTTCTTTATTCAAGATTTGTGCACAAATTATGTAATGTTATGATGTGCACTAAAATTTGACTTATATGGCCTCGTGTATTCTCTGCTTGTCGTCATAAACCTTGCAACATTCAGTTCTGCTTGTAGCAAAGTAATTGACCAGTTTAAGAGTTCTTCAGTTTTCAAGAAAAACTCTTCTGTAACTTTAAACGTTGGTCTTCCATTTAAGAGTTTTACAAAATTTCAATAATAGTACGTGCTTAGTAAGGAAACGACGTGTTATGAACGTATTTAAGACGGAAAATCAGTCAAGGTTCCATTATCAGCACTAGTATAGAAAGTTTGGGGTAGAATATCTTTTCTGGAGAAAAAATTTTTCCCGAAGAGTAAAGTTTTGGGCATAAGTTAACCCTTGTTTCACACCCAGAAACTTAAGAACCTTCTTCTTTCACCGCCTCCGTCGGTTAACACTGAGACGAAAAGGATATGTCATCTGCAAATTTGTCTCGGTTAGTCAACCTCACGAAAAGTAAAATTTTCTAAATAGTATTTCAACTATCATTTGCATAACACTGATCACATCAAGAGAGCTGCAATCGGTCTTAAGGATATGGGTCAAGGAAGAGGAACAATAAGGCGGCAATAAGAAATTTTCCACTTTGTTTTGTTTTTCATTATTTCTTCGGCGAGAAGAGAAAGAAAGCCGTAAAGTTGTTTTGGGGCTTGAACCGCTCTATAAATATCATACGGTCGAAACAGTTTAAAGTAACCACAAGAAATATTTCATTTCAGTTACCTTTAACTTTTAACTCCCAATAATACCTAAATGTATCTGAATTTAGAAAGCCCAATCTTACCTGGCCTTCTTTAAACTGTAAAACAAAGACATAAATCTGGCTTGAGATCATAAAACAAGAGCTTATCTGCGACATTGATGCTAAATATCCTTAACACTGATATATTTTTACCTTTTTATTCGGAAACCGCAGAATATCCCTGTGGTTAAGTAGATGATCCGTAGAGGTCGTCGCGTGAAAGAACACAAAGCAAAGTCTTTTTAAAAAAAAGAGACCTCCAGACAGTTAATCTATGAATCAGTGTTAATAGCAGGTTCCAGTTATTTTTGTTTATATGGAAACGAAAGCACTAAATGATGAAAATCGATCAACAAGTGACTTTCAGAACAACTACAACTATATCCGTAGGTTGCGACAATAAACTCTGTTTCCGTATTCTCAATAACACTGTTTTCATCGGTTTCCAATTTAAGCTAAACGAACTGGAGCGGCTGATAAGTAAAGCGAACTGAGGCATCGTTTTGCTGATATGATGACATGTCCGTGATGTCTTCAACAGAAAAGGAAAACTTGCTTAATATCGTCCATGTATCGATGTTGTCTAAAAAGTCAATCTTGAATAAAAAAAAAACAAAGCTATGGACGGGATGGTAAGAGATCAATATTAGTGCCCTGTTGTCGTAATTGTATCGGACTTTCTGGACACTTGAGTTGTCTTGGAGGAGTATGAACGTACCAGGTGGTAACTTAATCCTTCTCCCTGCTTTACATATTGTCTATTTGCTGAAACAAGGATATGGAAAGCTTAAGGTTCACAAGTTTGTTGCCAAATTGATCATGAAGTCAGCTATTGTTATTGAAACGATTAGTCAAACTCGCGGCATGATAAGGAATCTGGACGTTTTTCACCGGACAGTTTCCACCGATATTTATCTCAGTATGGTTCTGTTTACAGCCTCGTCACCTAAGGCGAGGGTCAGCTTGTCCAATATGATCAGTGGGAGTTTGCTGTTACCGCAGTAATTGCTTATTCCGCTATTTCCTCGCCCACCTTATTTCAATTCCTAAGTTAACATTTAAAATTTGCTATTCTCTCTGTACAATCACAACTGAACTCTTTCCCAAGCTCACTATTGATTCCTTCGTTAACATTTTCTTCTCTGAAAAAGAACCGAATAATCTTAGTGTGATGAATTCACGCTTCCTTTCATCAAAGGAATATTGCTGCATAAATAGTCAGTTTTGTTTGCGATAAGTATATTGAAACCGAAGTTGAGATCACAATCTAAAGAGGCATGAACGAAAGTTCGAGTAACGTTATATTAAAAGTAAAGCAAAGTGAATTTGTTAGTTTACTTTTCAGTACATCATGATGACGAATCAATCATAACTAAGTATGTTCAAATTTATTTGGTAGGATCTGCTTTATTATACAGGCCACCATTATACAGGCCATCATTGGATAAATTTTGGAAATGAGTTTAACCTCAGAGATTGCTTTCAATCCAGTTTCGATGAAGAGCCGAACAGAGTCGAATTAGTCTTTACCGTATGATGAACTTAAAAACCCATTTCTTTGTAGATAAGTCCAGCTTTATCTCATCAAGATTTTTAAATATCTTTACTAAGCATTGCATGTGTTTTTTAGTATCATTGCAGTCATCTGACCTCTTGGCTTTTTCCAATATCCAATTCTTCCAAACTACCTGTTGAACTCAATGATTTGTGTCAGTGATGTACTTAACTAGTTCGGGTACATCCTTGCACTACTTTGGAATCATTCCCGATTGATACATGAATCTCAGCCATGTATTGGTGAATGATTTCTTTTCCAATTAAGAAAATACTTCCGAAGTTCCCGGTTGTTTAATCTTGCCCCTTTCTTTGTTACTTGTTTCACTCGACACATTTTATTAACCTCACTCTAATGAAACGATACTTAAGATAACAAAGGCAAGTCACAAAACTTGATACGACCACTCGTTTGGTGAAATTTCTAGTTGCATGATGACTCAAATTGTCGTGCTTGAAGGAGAACATCAAATTTCCGGAGTGTGGGATTCAGGTCATTAGAGTTACAAGTTTATTGCGTGCAATACGCCGACATAAAGAAAAGTGCCTCGAGGAAACTCATGTTTGTCTTGTTAGGCTCATGCAATGCAATTTCCAAATTTAACACATTAAGGGTGTCTCACTCCAAATTAACTCCCATATGATCAAATATACCGGATCTCTTATCAGTCGAAGCGGGTGAGCAGGAATCAGGAACGTCGGTGATCGATCTTGCCAAGCATTAAACACTTTCTTCTTGTTTTTGAACTAAATTATGGAAAAATAGATTATGATAACAGAACTGCTATGTACAAGAACACGGCTAAAACAGGCAAGCAAACACGTTACCCTTAATGGACACAGAACGTTTTCCAGTTTCATTTCACTCAAACTAAATTATAAACCAGCTATAAGAAGCTATCTTCGTTATTTTGTTGCCCACAGCCACATGATTATGTGTAAGAGATAGTATATTAGGGTTAAAAAGAAAGTCGTAAACTTCTAGCTTCGGAAAAATAGATGGCCTCCAAAAATAAAGATGACAAAGATAATACCAAGGAAGCAAAAGGACCAATTTACGCCCACAATTAGGATATTTGACTTAACTACGCCATATAGTGGAAAATGTTATTTCATTCTGTTGTGTATAACTTATCCGATATTCTATAGTTTCTATCAATGGCTGTTCAAATAAATGGGTAGAACGTTAAGAGCTGAAAAGTGTTGACCAATTTTGCCTTGAAGCCAGAACTTGAAGCAAATTCGCTGACACCATTCGAACCAATCTGGATCTGTTGTCTTGGTCCAGTGACATTTTTTATGAACATGTTCCTTATTTAACATGCAAAGATTCAGAATACCTTCAGACGCACTAAAAATATTTTATTTTTCTTATCATGATTTTTGTTTTCACCTTAACTCATTTTTCATTAAAGCAGCAAATTTTTGTTTATTGAGTAGTTATTTCTAACGAAAAGAACAAGGTTAATTACCTCAACGATGATTATTTACAGTTATGGCTTTCTTTTTTACAAAGGAGTTCGAAATAGTAGTTTTAAATAAGATGGAAAAAAAACTTCTCGTTTATATATATATATAGATATATATACTGTTTGTAAAAAGGATTACCTAGAGAGATTGAAATGTCCGCATCTATTTGGGGCCTGTCAGGTCGCTACATTCAAGAACATTCTAAGGCAGCCTTGACGTAATTGAGTCGCGTTTTTTTTTATTATCATCGCTAAGATTTACAGTCGCATGTATTAATGTAGCCAATATATAGTCATATACGCCAGCTTATTGATCATAGGATCTTTGTGGTGTCGACGGAAAAACATTCCGCGCGTATCAATACATTGAAAACAACTGGCATCTGTTGCTCACATCTGATCATGTTTCTTTCATTTGCATTGAAGTTTCAAATCAAAAGCTATGTGTGATTATTATGAGGTAAGTGGAAACAAAGTTATTGAGTAAAGAAATAGACGTATGTCTAAGTTTGTATTTTCATCTGAAGGAAAAACAAATCAATATCGAGGAAAGACTGTCAGACAGTAGTAAAAGTGACGCGAGACAAATTTATTTAACCAAAAACAAGTGGAGCTTTATTTTACAATTTTTGTCAACAATTACTATTACGGTTCCTATCACTAAATTCCGGTTGAAGCGTTTAACATCTCGACCCACGATCATTTTATTCAGTAAATCTTTATAAACTTTTTTTCAGTTTTCTCTAGAACTGAGCTAATCGCATAAGCGGAGACGTCTCGATACTCGTCACATAACGTCGGCCATTAATTTATTTTGTTCTGGGCGTGTCAGGTTTTCTAGACGGAATTACCTTAAATTTGGCGGGCGGGTATAGAGATGACATGTGAGAAAAGCAGCCTGGAGAAAACGAACCACCTAGCCTCTGAATACTGGTTTTTCGTGTTCCTTAAAAGTCTGTAAAGAGCAATGACAAATCAAACAAGTAACAATTGATTTGGTTGTCATGATTCGTCATTTAGAACTGACTCGTTGACTAAGCCAGAATGCACCAGTTTTACAACAAGGTAAGTACGCTTCAAAAGATTTTCCTCTCTTTGAGTGGCTTAAACTGAACTGAAGATGATTATAGAATTTCCCTTCGTTCCTATTCTCGTAACTGAGCTACATTGATCAACACTTCAGAGCCCATTGCGAAATTCCAGTTACCGGATATATAGTTTTATTTCGCTGCGCTCTTCAGTTTCGGCGACGCTGTGTCTAACATTCCCGACTGCTACCTGTTTATTTGACATGCAATGTTATAGCATGGATGTTAACTAAGAATCTTTCTAAAAAGATATGATAAAATTTCTATCATCCCAAACATGTAGTTAAAACATTTTCGAGTTTTCATCTATTTCCATCACTCGACTAGCGTGCCAACCAATGCCACTGAGTGTCAAAGAGCCTGCTTCTCTCCATTAATGGCAAGCTTGTCTCTTGGCCAGCATTATGGCAAAATTTCCTCCAAGCTAAAAGAATGAATGAATATATCCATCGCTTATCTGATCAAGGGGCAATTTACATCTTGAAAAGAGAAAGGAGAAATATTACATCAATTCTTGGTTGTTTCGTAATGGTAAATTCCTCCGTTTTAACAAATCATATTCTACGTAGGCTGCAATTTTTTTGACGACAAATGACGCAATAAGCGTATTTTACGACTACAAAGTGTTTCTTCTTTCTATTCCCCTTTTTCCCTTTGCTTTTTCAATGCAATACAAATGTAACATCGCTCCACTTGATCTGAAGAAGTCGACAGCGAAGCGTTTGCTGGACAAATAGTTTATGAACACTGGATTAAATTCATTCACATAAAACATTGTTGTATCCGGCTTTGGTGTTAGATCAAATTAACAGTCAAAGCACCAGAGTGGTATTCACTTTTAATCTCTAAATAAATGACTGATAACCTCTGCCAGTTGAATATGAAGAAATAAACCTACAATTCATATCTTTATGACGCTTTTCAAACATTTTTTGTCTGAGAAAGAAGGCTCTAGAGAAGGAGAAGTCATAGATGAAGTGAGATCCTTAATCGGGTTAAATCGAAAGAGACGTCTGCGCGATTTGTTAAAAACCACGGAACCTTTTATTGACTTGACCTTATTCTGTGTATTGGTATCATAACACACATCTATCAGCTCAGATAAAACATGGAAAATCGTGGCTGATATGCACGTTTCAAACTTTCCGTACTGTTACTTTCGTGGTCTGTTTGTCTAAAACAGTGAGGTTTTGAGAAAATTCAACTGATACCAAACGGAAGAGAAAAAAAACCAATTGTTTATTTTGCAGACACTTAATTCCAATCTTATCCGATTTACTGCGCTACAAACCATATCTTATCTTAGTCGGTCGAATTTCTGGAGTTTTTACTTCAAGCTTAAAATAGCAGATGAACTGAACTTCATACAAATAGCTAGATAGTTGGAATGACAGAGTGGTCAAATGTTACAAGGCTCTCTCGCGACGATAAGAAAGATGAATCCATTGCAGACAACTAATAACAAAAATTAGTATTTTTGGCTTTAAAACAGCAGAAAATCTGCAAATGAAAAGCAACGTAAGTAAAAATCCGAATGAGATAAAGAATAAAGTTAGGCCTGGACCTCTTGTAATTAAGCTCAGTGTTCTTACGGTCACATATAAATATTTCAATCGCTCGTCAAAGATTTTTCGCTATTGTCAATCGGTTTCCATTGCAGATGAAGGTTGAATGATCTCAAGCGGTGTAATGACGTAGTTTGCTCTCGGACAGTTCACCTGCTGTAATCAGCTCCCACGAGAAACAAAAGTAAACCAAACTATGAGGTTAAATTTAGACGTTACAGGCTGCGTTATGTTGCTGAATAGAGGCTGAGCTAAGATTAGAAAGAAAGGTTATGAACTTTCCAACAGAAATGACCACCCGTCAGGAATTTGCGTCAAGGAGAAGCCATAACTATGTTAGCAATCAATAGGAGGGGACTTTTAGAGATAGATAACTTCAACGAAGACAAAAGATCCCCTGATCTTGGCTTACAATGTCACTGTGATCCCAATCAAGTTAATCAGTTCGCGTTTAATTTCACGCTGTGTTTGTCGATACGTTTAGTTCTACGAGTGACGCGCAAACTATCAAAACAACGGTGACTAACTTCATTAATAGTGCTCTTGCGAAATACCAATCTTTACGAAAACTCTATAATTTTATTGCCGCATTTTGGTTTTTATTTCACTCTTATGAATTGCTATGACAGATATGTCATGACATTTATGACACCTTCTAAAAGGATATAAAGGATTGTTTTATGAAACATTTACGACTGGAAAGGAAATACATATACTAATATTCCAACAGTTTAATCTTCCTCAAATGAAAACCTAGAATACGACCTATCACCGCATTTTTTTATATCTGAACACAGCTGACATGCTCTGATACAATGTATCAGCAGATTATAACCAGAGAGTCTGCTTCAATGCCATTGACAAAGTTAATAAAGTTTTTTCAGAGCATAGTATAACAAACCGTTCTTTGTTATGTGAACCCTTCAGGGGGGCCACGTGGAAATGTTTCAAACTTTATGAAGATCAGCTAACTCATGAATATGTCGCAGTGCCCCGCAGTGCCACGAGAGGTTTATATAAGATATTCATTTATAACTTTTCTTTTTAGCTTCACTGTTGATCTTTGTTAGGTATTATTTACTTTTCATGAGCTTATAAATTTTGTATTATATCAGTGTGGTAAAGAAATTGTTTCCAATAACTTGAGTAATATCAGTGAAGCCATGTTGAGAAATGAAATTCAATTATCAAAGTTGCGCAATTTCTGTCGTCCACCGTCATTTAGTTTAATGAGCAATTAAGCTTTGCACCTTTCCATTTGTTATCCTGCTAGCTTTTCACCGATTTCCTCAAAGCATTGAAACATATTTCACAATGCAATGCATCACATTTTCAAATCATTTTCTACCTCGAGCAAACACCCTGCCCTTGTTTTGATTTTACTTCAGGTCGAAAAGTTTAACATAACTTCAAAATAAGGTAAAATAACAACTTGTATTTAACCACCTATAAAAACGTCAGGACTTGCTATCCACGAATTGTTTCACTTGTACCTTGACAGGTTGTTTGTATTGTCATAGCAACAATGAGCAGTAAACCTGTTTTGTTTAGACTGAAGAATGTGCCAGAATGGCTGAGCTACAACCTTGACCCCAGATGATGAACTGACGTATCAAGTGTAGTTATTAGTAATATTTAGTAGATTAGTCGTTTAGTAACATTACAACGGAAAGTCCAAACTTTAATACCTCAAACGTAAGTTCACTTTATTCCTCGGTAAAGTTGTTCTTGTTAGGTTTCTTCGATGAATTTGATTTGCTTTTTGTGTTTCTGATATCAGTTCAGTCGTTGTTGCGCTTCAGTGATCCTCTGTGTCTCGTTTTTTTCGTGCTGTTTGAAAGAAACAAGTTTGTTCCGAAGACTCTTCTTTTCTTTTTGATGAAGCCAGAACTTTAAGTTGATGCGGAAGAGTGAGAACTTAACATTATCTTTGCACTCTCTTTTCAGAACTTGTACATCCATTTTTTTTTCTGACAAAGTAATTCAAATCTGTCATTTTCGTTATTAATAAGTAATTGTAAAGCGCTAAGATTTGTAACATTTAGATATGTTCACAAGGCCTCTCACAGATCCTTCAAAACTCAAAAACCTGTAGAGCGATGCATTGAGCGGAATCTTTAACTGTTACTTTGTTACGTTGTAGAACAAATTCGTTTGTTATCAGCTAATTTCTTTTCACTGAAAAGAATGTGACGATTTGTGGATAATTCTAAATGGTCACGTCCATAGCATGACCAGAAATTTCGGTCAAGAGCGAGGATTAGGTTACAATTTCACGTTAGTCGAATAGATAAGTGACTCCAGAAGTTTCTATTTTTATACTTCATCAATTAAATTAAGCCGAGACATTTTTGTGGAAATTATTTTTACGCACAGTGACTGTGAACAATGATAAGCAAATTTCTCACCGATTCATACTAATATATTCAAAAGAAGTGGCTAAATTTAGTGGGCCTCTGAGACCGAAATAGACCGGTTTGTTGTCTCACGCTTAGAAGTGTCTCTCACAATTCACAATAGGTACTACTAGTTCTGCCTGAAGGACGGATGATCTGGGCACCAAAACTGTTCCTTTTTGGGTTCAAAACAGAATTTTAAGGTTCAAAATTTCGCTGCGAGACAACTACTGCAAAGGACTAAGGTACAGCAAAGCAAGTTGGTAGTATTTCGTGTTTTATGTTGAAGTCAGAGAATTCGTGCAGTCATTACAATTCGTGGCATTTTGGCTTTAATGGGTCTTCTGCTTTTTAGCTGGAGGCCAGACGATGATATAAGAGGTTCTCTGAATGCTAAAGCCTGTTGTTGGTTAAATAAATACACGCTCAATTATGTTCCTTATTCCACTTCAACCACTTTGACTGGTGCAGTGATTGCCTTAGTTCTCAAACTGGTGTGGTTTACATGTTGTTGTTCTTATTCCAGCCGAGTTCAACCGAGATCAAGTCAACTCCGATGCCTCCAATGGGTTCCATAGCTCAGCGTTCACCAAAGTGTGCTCGGTGCCGAAATCACGGGGTAATATCCATACTCAAAGGACACAAACGGTTCTGTAAATGGCGAGATTGTGCATGCGCGGATTGCAATCTCATAGCTGAAAGACAAAGAGTCATGGCCGCGCAAGTGGCGCTTAGAAGACAACAAGAGAGTGAGGAAGTTGGTCATCTTTCATACGGCACAGTACAGTTGTGTTTTAATCAAAATCTACAAAAGGCACCAAGAATCATTCCACCCTCACCAACATCCCCAAAGGATGCTCAACTGCCAAGAACTGCTAGTTTGTCTTCTCGCTCAAGCTCGCCAAACATTGACGATACCAACAATGAGCTGGGGTCTCCCGCAAGCAGTGCAAACGATGGTGAGTTGAATGCAGTTCTTTTTGCAAAATTCTCCTTCAGTAATAAAACGAGCAAACATCATCCGATTTAAGGTCGGAATGATCTTCCAGCTGACGTAACTATTTATGAATTGATTACTTAATCGTCTGATTGGCTATCAAAATTTGCAAACCCTTCAGGTGATTCTACAGCAAAAAGCGGTCCCTTTTCCTTATCTCGCTTCGTTGCAAAACTACCAGCCTTGATAGCCGTCGAGATCAAATACCGATAGCCAGTTTAGATATAAAAAAGTACTGTTCAAATCACGGCTCAGTTCTTCCATGACACGGTAACTAGAGATTACGCCAAAGATATCAGTGTATAGACTTACCTCAGCATTAACGAAGTTTCAAACATCGAAATTTTGAATAAAATCGACATGAACAAGATAGGGTTTTCAGTTATTTTCGAGGATATCTTAACAGACAGGCCTAGTTTATACAGATTTAGCCATCGCTATATGGATAACCAAGGAACTATGACATATGACATAAGAGGCAGTCAATTCATCGCACGCGGTCTCAAGCGCGCTTGTATGAATAGGATATTATGGAGTTGCTTACTTATCTTGTGTTTAACAAAGTTGAAGCTTGACGGTTGTTGACAATTTTGCCCGCGATATACACAATCCACATTCTCTTTTCTAAATTAACCCCTGTGTTTTCTTTCAAAGAAAAATAATACAGTGCCTGGGTTACGTAAGGTAACTTCCTTCTGTTTTAATCATTTTGTTACTGCCCCTCGCGAGGTAAATAATAATTTCTGATGGTAATTTTCGGAAGGTTTTCAGGCTGAGAAAGTATATTTGACTAAACGTTTTGTTATACTGTATTGAAATGACGCTGAACCTAGTAACACCCTAAAATATAACTTGCTTGAAAAAAAGGCAACCATTGGAATGCAAAAACATTTAGGCTTTGTCTCTGTTTCCTGGCCCTGTTCCTTCTATGCTAAATACTTTCCAATTATTACCATGCTGGAAAAAACATTCACAACTTCTCTCAGGCCAAAGCTGTTTATTCCTCGTGAACTATACCTCGGTATGACTTAATTCTATTTGAAAGTTTGATTTAAGACGTCAAATAGCACAAAATAATTGTCTTATAAAGTCTACATGAAACCAAACTTACAGCTTGCATCATCCAAAAGAAATTTGGATTTTGATAAATAGAAGGAACACCTCTCATTGATCAACGATAACTACCACCTCGAAATTCCAACACAATTAGGTCTGATTTATTTGTGGCTGTGACCCCTGGCTAGGTGTTAAAATGCACTCGTTAGTCTTAGAACAAGTTGAAGTGGCTTCTCCCAGCCAAATTGAGTGATTTAAAACTAAAGTGGATTTAATTAAGGCCAGCATAATTATGACATCATCAACGAAACACTGATAAAGTATCGAGTCTAGAAAAATGCAACAAAATATTTGCATTCTGGACCGCGAACAATCTGGAAAGTTTTAGGGTGTTATTCTGTAATAAAATCTGTATGTTTGTTCTGGTCACTGGGAGTCAAATCAGGGTTTATAATGTCACCGGGATGTTTTTATTTGACTTATTTTACAGTTTGTTTATAATCAACGCAAGTGTTGTGTTTATTTTTGAGCAAGCTCAGACCTTTTGTCTATTTTTAGCAGACTGTGCCTTTATTAATAAAATCGGAACCAGTTTTCCATGTCCTCGGAGCTGCAATTTCAGTATATTACAACACCCTTGGAAAAGTTGTTGCATAAATTCTTTTGGACTCTTTATCTTCAGTGAAGAAAGATATCTCCCCATTTTCTCGTGAGGAACTATGCGATTTCGAGTCCATATTTGACATACATCAAGAGCTAAAACTGACGAATTTTGAAATAAAGACATTTTTCACCTTGTATTTCAGCTAGCAAAGGATCAAACAAAAAGTAACAGCTTGAGAAATATTTTCGCAGCTCAAGCCAAAGCAATGGCTCTACAATAGCACAGTGCAAATAACCATGTTATCGACACGTGTTACAAGTCTTTATTTCAGAACACGTGTCTAAGTTTTTTCTATGTAAACACTGGTAAAGTTCGAACGCTGCTATGTAAGAAAACAGAAGGTCAGGCCGATTTATTGAAAACTGACATAACACACAGTAGAGGCCTCAATATCGGCTTTACTAGAATTTTAAAAAACTCCAGTGAAGCTGATGTTGAAGTGTACAGTTGAGCCTTGGAGTTCATCTTAACCAGAAAACAGTGATCTACTGTTCTAAGAAATTAATGCTGCTACATGTCGATGCCTTTGTCCAGCCAATCAGAAAGCCAGGATTTTCTAAGGCACTGGTGGTTTATATCGACCAGCTGTGATATTGTGTAGAGGCAACAACTAGTCCGCACGCGTCATGTTTATTGTAACCTGGCTTCCCAAATGAGTAAAACCTGCTATGGTTAGCAGAAATCGTCTGTGATCGCCTTTACTTACTGACTTTGGCTCACGACAGACGCTATTTGAGTTCAACTGTTGGATTAACTCGGAACAACGAAAGCATTTTACGGTCGGTGAGTTTGTCAGTTCACATTTAAGTAACACCTTATTTTTCATTTCAAATTTTCAACTGTCATTTAATTTACAACTTATTATAGCTTTCTATTGAGAGTAAACTAAAATATGTCAAAATAGCCGACAAATAGTCAAACTGAATATCAACAAGTGGCATTAGAATCTTCTCTCTGTAGGTGTACCGCTTTCTGAGAACAGTTGAGTTAGTTAACGTTATAGGAACCATGTCACGGCATTGCCAAATACCCTAGTTTTGCAATCGTAAGTGTGATTTGAAACCAACTTGATAAATAGTGGTTGGTTGCTACATGATCGATCCAGTGAGACACACGATAAGGTTCTTAGAGTTGCTAGACTTTGCCCCACGGTGACTTGACATATGCTGACGGTCACTGACTAAAGAGCTAACGTATAACCGTGACGGCAAAAGTCACAGATCACTTTCTAAATTTAACGATACTCTCACTTTACTACTTATATTCTATCTTAAATTATGAAGCTATTCATAGATTGTCTAACACTGATGAATCTTTTTTACAAGCGGAGAAAATATGTTGTGTGAATTTTTTATTGATGTCAGGCTAACACGTTTGTTAAAACAGTAGGGAAGAATATTGAATGATAAAACACTTATTTACCTGTAGCGGTTGCCTAGGTGACATATCCCTTTCGTGTATTTGTTCTGTCGTGCGGAAAATGAAGCAGCCATTTATGTTCGAGTGATAATCAACCGCATTATGGTAATACTCTAAAAATGATTCGATGTTTGCGGCCAGTCTGTCATCTTAAGGCATATGGTGCAATGGCAAATTAAAAACAGTTTTTGATTTTTGTGCTGCTAGTTACTTCTTGAAATTTGCTATACTAACCTTGATTTTTCTTATAATTTCATTATCGTTTCAGTGGCTTGAGAACACATTTAATGAGATATGATTGGTGTATGAACTGTGTACAAGTAACTGAAAAGCTTTTATGCCTCTTTTGTAAAAGTCCAATTAAATTATTACTTAGAATATACCTAAATATGCACAATTTTCATTCTCGATATAAATTTGCTCGCCGCCAGTAAAGTTAACTGAGGTGATATACTTATCACCCTCAAAGTTTTCAGAGCACGAACTTCAACCTTCCAATTTCATGTTCTTATCTGGTGATTTTCTTCTTTAAACCCGCAATCACCGGATATTGAACATGTTTTTTTGCTGTGAAGTTTCTTTTCAAATCAATCTGAAAGCACCCCTCAGTGTAGTGTATCAATCTTTGAGGAAAAAGCCACAGTTTTCTCTTAGTTTGATGTCGCAAGTCTTTCTTTAAACACAGTAAGTGGTCCCATAGGATCTACCCATTTCATAGGTGCTTTGGCACAAAATTCTTTGGAACAAGGAAGTTCTAGCTGGGAAGTTTCCTCAGCGGAGTTTACATAAAGATTAAACACCACCTTTCCCCTCGTAAGTACAGGTAATTTAAGGTTTTGTCAACTTAGAGTCGACGGGAAAATTCTGCAATCATTTCTTGGTTGTGTTAGCGAAGAATTTCACCTTTTCTTGACAGCAAAAATAAGATTTAAGCGATGCTAAGTTCACCATGTAAAATTTTTGGCGCCCCTTGAATGTAAAATTATTGAATTTTTTTCCTGTGGCCAATGGAAATTGCAGGTTGCGTCAAGCTGGTATAAAATTGACATTGATGACAATAGAAAAACAACAAGCTCTACCATCGAAATAAAATAGATGACTTCAAACTGTCAGCTAGTTGCATTTTAAGGCATTGCAAAAATAAACAATAGTTACCGTGCGTTTAGCTTGCTTTTAAGAGTCTTTTTTGCGTGGTCATTTGCATAAATTAAATTGCAAACTAAGTCATCAGTTTTGAACGGATCACTAGCAGTCACGAACAGAACAGAACTGAGTTCTTCTAACTACTGGCTGCACGAAACTAAAACGAAACTCGTGATTGAAGGTAATATCAATTGAAGTTTCTATACATCGCTGTTTTCGTGATTTCAGGATTCGATCTGTGACCTGTGTGTTTTCCTTATGATTTTCCATTTTTTTATTCTGAATTGTTGATATCTAATCAGAGATTTACTGCTAGATAAGAGAACCAACAGATACCTTGGTATAAATCGTTATGTAAACGCCTAACAAGTCACTTCCATGTGTGCTGCTCTCACTGCTATTAAGGCTGCTTTAACACTGACTGAGGACGTAATGCTGATTCACTGGTTCTATCTTTAACAGATAAGTGATTAGAGCCCATCTAGATTCAGTGCACAGTCAGTTTTGTCTCCTCGAAAAGAAAAAAATTATTGAATTATTTTTAAAAAATGTTATAGTGATCCCTCAGTAGCAGAGAACTGCAATATAGACTGCGAGGGTGGTCAGCTTAGAGTTATTCACTGCTGACAGGTTATCAGTCTAAGGACCACTCATTTAATGCTACTGTTTCGTCGACAAGTGTCGATTTTCTTGTGGTGGTTCATTCCCTGAAATAAACTAAATCTTAGACTGGCGATGAGCAGATTTTACACGGACATAACTGAATAACAGCCACTGTTATTAAATTCAATGTTTTTACTTTTTAGAATTTCCAATGGACAACAACACCGAAGGTTTCTCCACGAGATGGAAACGTGAACGAGACGACGACGAAGATGAGCGGCGGCTAAGAATGTCACCAGAAACGAAAAGACAGAGACACGAGAAGATATCCCTACAAAATGGCGATAGCAAAGTCATGTCAAGCTCTGATCATTCCAGGTACATGAACATCCTTACACGGCTCTTTCCGGAGCAAAAAAGGAACGTTCTGGAGTTAATTCTAAAGGGGTGTGGAGGTGACGTTATCCAGACAATAGAGACCGTTCTTCCGAGTCACGAGGAAGCCCTTGCTCGGGGCCAGTTACTTGCCACTGTGCCTAGAGGTCTCTTTCCCGGGCCCCCTCCACCATCTAGCTATTCAGCCTTTTCGCCCCTGTCTCCCACTCTTCCTCACAATATGCCATTGAGTGCTGTCGAGTACCACGCAACTTCTAAATGTGCAAGTGGCCAATGTCCCGGATGTGTGTACTACCCAGGAGCCGGTCCTATACCAGTACTCAAGGATCCTACTAAGCGTCAAACCGCAGACGTACCATCTACGCTAATACATTCCATCTCCGAGCACAACTCGCTACCGATTTCAACTATGCCTGGCTTGACTAAAATTCCACATCTTGAGGATACGCGGTATAGCCAAAGTATGCGGTCAGCAACCGCTGCCTTAATGACCATGAGCTCGGCTGGAAGAGTGTTTCCTGCGGACCGACTACCACAAAGGAATGATCGCAGTCCTCCGACTCATTCTCCCCACACCTCTCCTAAGAGTGAGGCTGACGAAAAGCCCTAAAATCGATGACTTCATTACAGAGGATAAGAAAATAAAAGAACTTGAATATATTAGAAATAGTTAATCCAAAATGAGCCAGTGAAACTGGAACAAATAGGGTAGATATTTCTGTTTGTAAGAATTGAGTTTGAACTATATCTACATACTTACGAGTGATAGACTGGTGATCAATAACAGAAAGATTTGAGAGCATTAGTGCTTGTAGCGCTTGTCACTCGGCCGTTTACAAAACGAAAATTGTCCTAGTAAAGATTATTATTAGTGTTTATCTGAATCGTAATAGCCAGGCTACGTGAATCAATTGGGGAATTGTAAATACTACTACTTAATACTGAAAGTTCTTAGAGCTTTTTCTTATGTTTTCTAAGCTATTTTATTATTTTATACAACAAAGAAATAGTCTCAGAAATAGTTTGGTATAGTTGTAGAAAGATAGGCGACATATTCAGTAATTTCAGTTAGAGTGTATCACTGACAAGGAATTCTCGCTAACGAGGGCTTCATATCGGTTAACATCCTAAGTACAGTCAATAAGAGATACTTGGTGAAGTGCTCTAGGCACAGCCGTTCAAAAGTAGTAGTTTTTTGTGGAATTTACATAAACAGCGACGTATAATGGCTTCTTTTATTTTTCCATTATTTCAATTTTTCAATATTTTATTATGTGTTAAAGTAAAGTTGTTCCAAAGCCTTGCCCTAAAGAATGTAAAGTTATAGAACACAATAAGGTAATTGAATACAAATGTAAACTTGTATCATAAAACTATTTTCGTACCAGCTTAGAGTAGTCCGAAATTAACAACGTAGAGACATGCGCTGTACCTCAAGCAGGAGCGCCGATAGCTAGAATGACAAGTTTAATATAGAACATTATCTTACTGTTGTGTCGGTAGTCGATTGATATTTTTTTCCGTACCTTCAGTCTACACTAGCGTGAAGAGCAGGGTTCAGGCATAGAAAATTGACTTCAACCTTCAGTTTTTTTTTAATCTGTCAAGCTTTGTGAAAGTTCTAATTTTGGTTGTAAATCCTAAATTCCTCTCTTATGAGAAAACATAATAATAATCCGCAAAGCTTTCTATTTTCTCCTAGGAATGAAAGATTAGTTTATTTCGTCTGTGATAAAGAGAGCAATGCAATACAAACGATCAACGAGGCCTCATAGAATGTTATTACTGTTCTTATTGCGGTAGAGCAATAAGAGAGCAATGTAATATAAATTATCAATAACGCCTCATAGAATGTTATTACTTTTCTTACAGCGGTAGATGTAATACATCAGTCATTCAGCACTTGGGAACAAACCATAGGCTTCAAAACTGATACATCATGAATGAGAAAATGATGAGATAAATCTTTATCTTTGATCAACTTGAAATAAAATTAGTCTGTACATTGAAAATGTAATGTTCCAACTATTTCAGTGGAGTTATGTTGGTATCATCTAAGTCGGACAAAAGTGACTGAATTAGTTGACTTTTTAAGCTGATTCACTCAATATTTCAGCTTTTCGTACAGCATGAACACAGCGAACTTTTATCAGTCAAACGCCTAAGAGCAAGTAGGCTCGGTAACAAAAGACCAGATGCTATGACATAAACTGAATGAATGCGATATAACTCACAGACATAATTATATTACAAAACTCTATCCTAAAATGATGAGTACTTGTTTAGAAATGGAAAGCCAAATAGTGTTTATGAACCTCTTGTATTTGAATAACAATACCGTACTTTCCTTTTAATTCGAGTCCTTTACTTAGTTCCACTCTAGGATTGCACGTTTCTCGCTCCACGCTGCGGCGCCAAATATGTAACTGAATGAATAAGGTTCCTCCAGATGCTCTCGGAGTCTGTGCAGGTTTTTCAAAGATTAAACACTTCTGTCTTAAACAGGGCTTGCGGAGACTTAAACAAGGTGTCGTGGATCCCGTCTTTTCGTCAGAGCGTAATGTTTTTCAATTAAGTCAACTTGAAGCTCAAGTTGTTCATGTTGACTGTTGAACGGAAATTAAACAAAGTATAAATGACAGCTTTTGAATAAAACTAATGAGTAAAATTCAATTTTCCTAGAAACCCAAGCGGTGAGAAGCGAAGGTGGACTCTCTATAGATTCAAACAAAGCGACTAAAAGCCCATGACGGAGCAACTTCAGAATACCCGTCCACATCATTTACTTACGTCGGGAGGCTTTGAATGATGAGGCATAACACAATAGACCCCAAAGTCTCCGGCTGAAAGCTGTCGAATTTTTTTGAATAAAAATGTATTTTGAATTGAAAAGCAATACCCAGAGGAAGTGCTATTTGCATTCAAATTGAAGGAAAGCTCACAGCAAACACAAAATGACAACAAAATCAACCAAACTAAGTCTGGAATGCCTCTTTTTATGTGCGTACATTCAAAAATCTGCCTCGATAATTATGTCTGTTTGTTGAAACGTTGAGACTGCCGTAACCAAGGCATTGAATGCAAGTTGTCATTACTTTCGAACGAAAAAAAAAAGAAAGAATAACCTTCTGAGGTTGTTTACAAATTACCATAAAAATAGAGGTGTTCTGACTAACACGGTCTGTCGGCTAACAAAAAGGTTTAAGCCGATGTTGTGAGAAAATGACGCTTAATCCTGCATCAGCCAATGACAACTCGAATCAAACTTAACCCAAACAATAGGACTCATTAACAACAGAAATACAGTAGGTGATATATCAACTGTTTGACGGTAATTAATTGGAAAAGCGTAAATTGAAAAACTAACAATTTCGTCCAGAACTGTGGATGTCGCGGAGTGTGTCGAAAACGAAAACCGCACTGTAACAAGCAAGAATGTCTGAAGATCTTCGAGGCGATGAAAATGTACCTCGGTATCCTCGCTGTGCGAGATGTCGGAATCACGGCGTTGAATCAATTTTGAAAGGTCATAAGCGATTCTGTCAATGGAAAGACTGCTCCTGTTCAAAATGCAGCTTAATAATTGAGCGACAGCGCCTGATGGCGGCGCAAGTGGCGCTCAAACGGGAGGAGGACGAGGTAACACCGCCAGCGCCCACGGCGGTTGGCCAGTTTCGGAACACTGCCGTCAGCGTGGACCCCGGCTGTGTAGTGTATCGGCCACAAGCGACAGGTTCAAATGAAGTATTACCCAGCATCATATGCCCAACATCTGCACAGTTCGATGCTAACAATAACACAGCTTTGAATGACGTTGATCCGGCCATACACTCTTCGCTTTCATCGGTGCCAGGTGAGAAAATAATCAGTTACACCTCTTCAAAAAAAAAAAAAAAAGAAAACTCGCTCATTTAATGAAAGAGGCAAAGCATTTTGAACTGAAAACAAACAAAAAAAAAAATTGAACCGCTGCATGTAAAATTCTGTATTTATCACAACCGCCCAGAAGACAACTGACTTACAAGAGAACACCGTGTTCCTTTAGTGAGATGACCTTGACCATTATTTGATTAAAACTGTTTCATTAATCAGGAGAACTCTTGAACCAGGCACTCAATGTTTAACGCTGAATGAAAGTAAAACATTCGCTCTCTGATAAGGACTAGGAAAAAAAAAAACATAACAAATAAAAGCAATTGTAGAGGTCATTTGATAAACATGAAAAATCGATGGTCATATTCAGACATGTTTTTGAATGGAGGCCTGTAGAATACATCGTACCAGTGAAAGGGATTATCCTATCGATTTGTTTGATAGTTACAGGCGTTTTGTTTCTTTTACTCTCAGTGACCAGTAGTGCCGAAAATTTCTGGCATCCACTAGTTTACTTTCCTTCCCTGAACCAATTTTCATTTCTATTTTTCGGTTACACTTTTGTTAAAGGTATATCCCATGCACTCTCTTTTATCAGCCGAATGCAATTAGAGTATACAGAAACGATTTCCGCTTGATTGATAAAATTAAAAAATTGTCGCGACCTTCGAGAATCAAGCTGGTTAACAAATTTCACAAAGATTTAAGGCAATTTGAGTTTCAGTGGAAGGTAAATAAACATATTTTGATTTTAATTAGGAACGTTTTTATGAGTTTCTTCTAAAGCTTTTGAAATCTTTATGTATCTTTTTACAAGTCAGTGTAAATATCGGACGGTAGAAAAGACCGATAACCATAGCTAAAAGCAAATACAATTAAATGCAGGAATCACTTGAACATCCAACCTTGATTCGAAGTTAAAAAAAGAACCTTATGTTAGGAGTTTTAGTTAAGCCGGATTCTTCCATTATGTTTATGTCGTTAAAGCCGGGCTTTATGTTCGTACCAAATTCGAGTATCTTCTAATGAAAATGTTCGCTCAAAGCCGCAATCAAAGCCCCAAGATCAAGCACGGAAACAAAGAAATCATGTACTTCTGTCCTTTTTCCTTCTTCACGTCTTTGAATTATTTTCCCAGGTTTCAGTTCTTGCTTATGGTTTCTCGATAAAAGTGTAAACTTCTTCAGTTCCCTGTGTCTGCCGCAGTCCCCAGTTATCACTAAATAGTTTATCACGCATTTACACGGAGAAAGTTATATGTTCGTGGTGAGGCCATTTCTTTTCTTATTTTTTTCTCGTCACAAGAGTGAATGGTATAAAATCCTTTTTTTATTGCTGTAGGCCTGAAGCGCAAGTTCTCAGAAATGGAATCGTCGTACCCCTCCCCCCCTGAGGCAGGAGATGACAGTGTGTTTTATGACAGTGATGACTCAAACGGCCAACCAAATGGTGACATCCGGGATTACAAAGAACCAAGCAAACACAACAAAGAACGAGATTCTTTGACTCGTACGGATGACAGCACTAACGAGAATCTGAAGAGTCCTGGAAACCAGAATCAAAGTTACCAAGGAAGACTGCATCCGTTAGAGCTCCTTTCCAGACTCTTCCCAACTCAGAAGCGGAGTGTGCTGGAGCTGATTTGGAAAGGTTGTCATGGAGACGTATTGAGAGCAATAGAATGTGTACTTCCGAGTCATGAAAAAGCAATGGCTTCGCTTAACTCACCTGAAAATCCTGTGATGCACTACACTGCAGGAATGCATCCAGGCTTTATTACTCGCCAAACACGGCCAGCTTATCAAGGCCCTGTGGGACCTGCACCTGGACGCTATCATGTTTATGGCTCGGCACCAGGTTTCTCATACCCAATGGTCGAGTATCTACACCATCAGAAGCGCAGCCTGGGACAAAATTGTTCAGCCAATGACAACGAGCTTGCATATAGTACGGTTCAGGGAAGTGAACAAACAAATATTGTGGGAAAAGTTTGTCCGGAATGTTCAACCAAATGCCAGTCGAGCAGTAACTTTTGCAGTTCGTGCGGAAAATGCTTTAAAGAGACATAGTTACTAATAATTGTTTTAAATTTCAAGGAAGTTTTCCAAATGACGGTGTATCTGCGCAAGTTAGCAAATTTTGCTTGAAATGAAATGTAGCGAGATGTACCAGGATTAGCTTAAGGAGACAGTTTAAATTTTTCCCCAATACAACTTTTTGACGCCTTTGTGAGAAAACCTGAGAGGAGAGAGTTCCATTACTCAGGAAGTTAGGAAGAAAGAAAAAGCTCGCTCTGTCGTCATGCGTGAACCACAAGCTCCTGGTGTGAACCTTTTTGCCCTGGGTCCCAGCCTTGAGGACCTATGTACCTTAAATGAGTGCTGTTTAAAAGGGTGCGAGATTCATCCCAGCATTTATTTGGTATCAACAGGAGTCACTGAGTAAATTCTAAAAAACCTGTTTGCCACTCAAAAATAAACTCATTTTTGACAAACTATCCTACATGTACTCCGGGTTACTCAACTGGTGTCCAATCATAGTCCGTAAAAACAACACTTGAGTGAAAGCTTTTAGCTTGTGGCTTCTTAACTACATAGCCTTTAAGTATTCTGCTGTGACTTACCACAAGTACACAAGAAAAAAAATTAACTTTAAAACTGGTTAATGGCTCAGATGAAGTTGAGAAATGTGGGAAGTTTTTTAATGCAGTGAGTTTGGAATGAGATGTTGTTGCTTTTCTGAGCAGTTGGCTCAGAATGTATGTATGGGTCGAAGAATGGTGGAAGAATGTATGTATGGGTCGATTGAATCTCCTTACTTTGTTCTCAGTCAGTTATTAGTGCGGTAGAAGAGAATTTACGCGTTGATCGTTGCTTGACAAAATGATGTGTTATACCACCTGTTGTCTGGGTCAGCAGATCACGACAGCAACAAGTTCCGGGAAAAAACATGACCTCTATTTTCGACGGCAAAATGGCGACTTTTTAGCATTCGGTGACAGTAGACGGTGAAATCATCATTTATCGCCTTGAAAATCTAAAAACGCTTTCAAGGGGAAAGAATTTTGCTGTGCCTCCAGAGCGATGATTGTTCACATTGTTAAGACGTTTTTTATGCTTATGAGTTTAGCTGGTGGTTCTATTTTCCTAGGCGCTGATTCTGTTAAGAGGGATCATTTACAAGGTACGTGATAATTTACACACCGTGGCCTTTCATCAGTTTGAACTTGATTCATGGACCAAATCACTTCCACTGGAACCCGTTGCTTCCAGTTATCAAAGCAAAATTGTTTAGAGTAAGAGACGTAAGAGCTTTCCTACATTGTTTCTTTAAAAATATGTAATTAGATTAAGATATTTTTTTTGTTATAATGATGAGGCATATGTCAAATGTCACCGCTTGATAATGAACCACTTTTTTAAATCAAATTTTTTTCGGTTGCTAGGTCAAAGTTTTGAAGAAAGAAACTATTATGATTTACTTTTCAATGTTCATCAACCAATTTAAAATTCCGAGAAGGTTAAAAAGGGCCAAGCTTAATGAGAGGTGATTGAAAGCGTAATGGTGGAAGGTACGGTCGAGGAAAATAGGGTCGATCTTGAAATATGGTTAATCAAAGTTACTGTAGGTTAAAGAAAAGTCACAGTACGAGACTGACTGTGAAGGTGGCGTCTACTCGAAACGCAAAATGCGCACGCGACAATATAGAGATGTTTTGTGAGTGAAGCTACCGGTAAACACTTTTTCGGCCTGGAGGAAGTGTAATTGATATGAGGCCGATACTGTCTGCCATTATTCTGTTGATCATGAGACACAAAACGTCAAATAAGTTCAACGCTAAAACTCCATTTCGTATTGTTGAGTGGGTTTTTATACTTTCATAAATTAACTTTTCTGAAAGAACTGTTTACAAATATCTCTTCCAGATCACTTGCGAGTGCGAAGAGGATTTCGCTCATACTTTTACAACTATTTGGACGAAATTGCTATGGCAACGTGTGCAGCCATTCCCAGTAACGGACCAGGCCTAATATACGCAGTCAGACGGTAACTAACATTTGTAATGTATCATAAAACAAAATAATTTTAATTTTATGGTGAATTACTGAAACCGACTCACCGAGGATGGAAGTTTACACTTGTAGCTCACCTTCACAATACATTTCATTCATAAAATAAATTTTGATTTTAAAAACATTAAAGACAGTCAAGCCAGTCAGCGGCTATCATATCTCACAAGCAAAACGATTAGTTAGGGACCACCCATTGTTAACCACTGATCCTCTCTCTATTCCCCCTGAAAACCTATGTGATCGTTCAAATAGCCCTCACTCCCACCCCGGCGGTAAATGATAACTGGTCCCTTACGAAAAAAATTATATCAACACAGGTGTTTAAAGTGACATCAACATTTTGTCAGTAACAATGATGATGATGGCTTTATTTATCCGGTCAGCATATCCACTTTACTAACTGGGATTAATGAGTGAAGAGTAAATATGAAAACTGTGTTTTTTTTTTAAGAACAGATTGTTAATGACTTGATGTATCATTGCTATAGAACTGTAAGAAATCTAAATGCTGCCGCTGCAGACATTATTTGCGCTGTCATTATTGAACCAGTACCTCAGCTGCTACCTGAATGTACTCAGTTATAAATATGCTTATTTAGGACCTGTGGGGAGAAATATGACTGCAAGCACATCTGTACAGACAAAAAGTTACGACAACAAGGACCAAAGGAAGTTCATAACCTAACCTGGGATTGTACTGAGTCTTTGCACGTCTACAAAAGACAACCTGCCTTAGCGGACAATTATGATGAATATACAGATTCTCACAAACTAGGATTGGCTGTGTTTCGCCATCACTCTTGCACTGTGGCTGATTGTGGTCCAAACTACTGCTGCTGTAGAGCTGTTGCATTATGATCGTGCTCTGACCTCATAACAACCCCACCCCAAGACTCAGGACCCAACTGCTGCTGTAGAGCTGTTGCATTATGATTGTGCCCTGACCTCATTACAACCTCAACCCAAGACTCAGGACCCATTTATCTCACAAAAATTACGTAAGCATCACGTGTAGTGGTAATATATCAACAACTTGAGAGATATGGAACCAGTTCATCAATAGCTTCACGAAGTCAGGAGACAGTCCATAATTTAAGCCAAGAGGTGCAAGATCAAATTAAGATCTCACATTGCCACAGGTCAATTGCCCAGCTAAGAAGACAATGTATCATTGACATGTACAGACGCACCCTAGTGAGCGCGTTGGGTTCGAGAATCATCTTCACGCCTTATAATTTAGACGAATATTATTAGAATTTGGAACGATCATTTACTGAACTGCTTCACTAAACCCTTAACATATTGTTTGGAATAGAATGGAAAGGAAGTAAACAGACAGTAAATCAAATTTCAAAACATAATTCGACAATAAGGCCACACCGTGATAAAAGTACTCGCTATCCACCACACTTGATGACCTCTAGTACTTTTTGCTGTGTTTTTGACATCACAGTAATACTGTAAAAAGGTTATCCCACTGAAGATGTAGAGTCAATCTGCATCTTTATTTTTTCCGCGGAGTCACTGCAAAACTTCCAGCGCAAATTTTCAAGCACAAAGAATGTCCTCACTCCCTTTGCACCCGAAAGTTAAAATCTATAGAGCACTGAGTTTAGAGTTCCCTTCCTGAAACACACCACGTCGATTACTTTAGACCCTATACTTCCCTTTGTGTTATATTAAGGTCCACTCGAGTCGGCTATTTGAAAAATAAAATATGAAAACATGCCTCAATATTTTTTCCGTCTTTATCTTGTGTCAGATACAATGAATATATGAAGTTCCGCATATATTTTGAACTGCGGTATTAGATACGTATGATGGACGATCCTCGCAGTAGATAGCGCTATTTATGCAATAGCGAAAATCAGACCTGGAAAAAATCAGGCCTGTACGGGATTCGAACCACTGACCTTAACGGCCTGCTCCCAGTTGGCTTGTTAGCTCAATTGGTAGAGCGCTGCACTAGTATCGCAGAGGTCAGTGGTTCGAATCCCGTACAGGCCTGAATTTTTCAGGTCTGATTTTCGCTATTGCATAAATAGCGCTATCTACTGCGAGGATCGTCCATCATACGTATTTATCTTGTGTATCAATCCGTGTCTCACTCATAAATTGCTACTTCCCATTACCAATCAGTAAGATTTAATTGCATGTCCCACGATTCAACTGACTGACAGATATAATCATAGATATAATTGCCATTTACTTGCAGAATAGTAGAGTGAAACAGGTGATTTTGGTGAGTTCTCAGTTGTCACTGATAGCGGCGAGTGATCCGTACTGGGACACTTATCATCAATCAGCCTTTTAAGAGCATATGAACATGTGAATGCGAGAAAAGAATGCTCACAATGGCACCTTTTCGTTTCCAAGGTATCCTTCGTTTTTTTCTATAACACCTCCTTATGATTGAAAATCGGCTTTATGATTGAAGAGTGAATTTCCAATCAAGCTTAAAACTTTATTAGAAAAAATCTAAAAAAGTTGAGCTAAATTAATTAGTGATCGATGCTTCTATCATAGGCGCGATAGGCGGTTAAGTTTAAAATTGAGCAATTTGTTCTCAAAGAACAAAATCTTCTTTCCTGGCAGTTGACACAATTTTCCTGATATGAAAATCAACCGGAAACAGCTAACAATAAGTATACACCATTATCATTTCCTCTGAGTTTCCTTTGGATCATTATTTGACACCAAAAGAAAACACGTTCTCTCCCCGTTAGAGTGGAATAACCACGACGTCATCGATTCAATGATTGAGTGCTCTGAGTTTATAAGAAATGTTATTAGAGATGAAAATCCCAAGCTCTTGACAAACAACTTAAACAAACACTGCTGCCGCATTGAAAAGAGTAATTACTTGTAAATGAACTTTTTTTTAGCAGGGATACAGGATGAATGCAAATTTGACGTTCGGTAAACACATTTTTCACTTACAGAAAAACTAAGCTGTAAGAATTTGAAGGCTAAAAATATTTGAACTGGTCTGAAATCGATTACAGTGGAAACTGGAAAAAATGGCGCGTACCAACGAGGAGGAAAATCAAAGAACTGTGTCGAAGAAACATAATGTGAGGCCATTGCTTCTTACACAAAATAGTCTTCATGTACCAAGTCATGTTCTATTACCCCGTGGATCGCTTTTCGCCCATCCGTATCCCGAGTCAGTTCATCCATTTGAAACTCATGAGCAGCTAAGCCTCGCTGAACTGCGAACTCAAACAACGGTTGGCGGTAATCATTTGTTGGGCGCCAGCACCTCGCAGCGAACCACAGAAATTAGGAAACAAGGCCATAGCAATGTAAAGAAGTGTTACGGCTCTCGCGACGAAAAAATTACCACCAGTTTTGTTGTAAGGAATCTTCCAGTTTTACCGTTCAAAACTGCCGTGGTTTGTTTAATTCTTAACTGCATCATACCAGGCGCAGGTAAGGGAAACATGATTATGCACATGGAAATTACAGTTCAGTTCTGGCAGCAAAGCCATGTTTTACGTATGACGCACGATCCTTCGCAGTAGATAGCGCTATTTATGCAGTAGCGAAAATCAGACCTGAAAAAAACCTGGCCCCTGTACGGGATTCGAACCACTGACCTCTGCGATACTAGTGCAGCGCTCTACCAATTGAGCTAACAAGCCAACTGGGAGGAGGCCGTTAAGTTGATTCGTAACAAACCCGTGATGATAAATCTGATACAATGAATATGTGAAGTTCATATATTTTGAACTGCGGTATTAAATACGTAGCCATGTTTTTTATAACCATTTTGGTAATCAAGTGAAGTGAAAAATATCTGAATTCATGCAGTTTATGCTTGTTCAAAACCCTTGAACGAGGGTTCAAGACAAAAGAGTTAAATTATTTCACTGTTTTTATCGAGACACATTCATAGTGTTTACGGCTACTATCCTAACCCTCTTGCAGTGTGATAAGAATGTTGTTATTTTCAGCGGTTAGAAGACGTTCTTGTAAGTAAATGTGGCATGATACCAGTAGCTACCGACAAAGGATATTTATTTTTTGTGACTTTAATTAAATATCCCTTTCGAACCTGTTAGTGTCTTCCTGGAAAATCTTTAAAGAGGCATCATAATGAGCGGCCCGTAAGCTGCCTTGGAAATCTTTTCGTTGTAAGAGTCCTGAATAATAATTTCAGAACTAAATATTAACAATCTGTGGCGCGTTTGTGACGAGAAAAATTCACCCTGTTTTGGTTTTGTAATAGCTGAAATGATCAAAACTAGCATGTATGGTTTGTAGCATTTTTCGAGCCACAATCTATAAACAGAAATAATGAAATTTGAGACTGAGATGAGCGCGATATTTCAAACTAGTCTGGACGAAGATCTAATCATCACACTCTATCAAACTGAGTTGTTCCTTTTTTCATTGCGCAGTGGACCCAATAGACTTATCTTCCCAAATAAGTTTACAGTTAAAGTCAGTTGGATGAAGAAAAATCTCAGTAGTACTCCAAAGTAAAGATACTTCTTAAAACTTACTTTGTTGATGTTACTGATGACCTCTTTAAGATCGGTGAAATGTCTAATAAACCTTCGATCGCACAGTCACTCGTTTGTTTAGTGTACTCAGTCCGAAATCATATTCTGTCCAGCGGTAACTCCTCTCATAGACCAGAAGGCATAGTATGCATCAGGAGTGGTCACCGACTCCACTCCTCCCAGTGTAATATACTCATCGTGGAAAAAGTGTTACACGTTCAATTGGTTTACTATTCAAGCCTTTTTTGTCTTCATTTATCCACGGTATTAGAATCCTCAGGTTTTTTCATGGCACCATGAAAACTTATTAGGTCGGATTATATCACTTTCAGGCACAGAATACATTCAACAGTTCTTGACATATTTTCTTTGCATAAATTTACGGCGTTTTGCTATTTGAATCAGCACAGCTGTAAATATTAGAAATCGGCAGCGCTTGAAAAAGGAACAATTTTTCCTTCTCATAATGTTTTTTTTTTAATCAAAAATTACTTTTAGTTCTTAGTTTGAATTGGCACTAAAGGCTGGCATTAGTTATTGTTAATTTCATTGCTACTTGTTATTATTGATTCAGAAACCTGTAAATTCTGAAGAAAGGCTTTCGGCAAACAGCTTTTTACACCTCACAACAATACAACAAGCTCTGTTCACGAATGCAATATTTGTTAATTGGCAAAGAAACTAGAACTGACACGTCAGAAAAAACAGCGACTTCTCCTTAATCAGAATAATGATATTAAAAATGTACCTAACGTGCATTTGGAAGCATATAAACCAAAAATACACAAGTTTACTCTGTTGATGACAGCGTTAATTCTCAAGCGGTTTATTTAAAACCCTCTCTTTTTCAATGCAAATGCACTAAATTGTTCTTAACCGCTAATCTTCTAATTGCACAGAATTGAAAAGAATGCCTGCTATCCGCCGAGTCTCTCTTAAAGGTGGATAGAAAATTCTAAGACATATTTTCATTAAATTGTAAGCAAAATCGGATCCAATACAAACATCATGAAACATGTGTATACAGACTGGAAACAAAAATGTCTGTTTTTTTCTGTAATTAAAAAAAAGTAGTGTTCCGCTCTCGCTACAGCCAGCAATACATTAATGAACAAAAGATCGTATTATCGTTTTTGAAGCAATATTGCACTCGAGAGCTGATAACAACACAACGTTGTACGCTTTATTGCGTGTGATTAACGCTGAAACCTTTAAATCCATCAGACTTATGGCACTCGAATAAAAAAGCCTCCAGGGCTGTGACCAGCTGAGGACAATTAGGTGTTGATAGATGTGGAATGTAAATTGATCTTCAGTTTGAGTCTCTATTGTGATGTAAAAGTCTTAATCCACAGCAACATTTTGTAGTTTTCTACCTTCGCCTCTCTCTCAGTAACGAATCGCTGAGAACCGTAGGAAATTCATACTTTTAAAATCTGTATACTTCGGCGAAATATAGTGAAGGAGAGACCAATTGCTGAGGAATAATCGTTGATTACCTAATGATGTCTCTTGGCCACAAACAGCGCGGCAGTAGTTCAACACAATTTTTAGTTGCTGACGGAGACAACGAAAGTCAGGGCCGAAATGCGAAGGAAAATTTGCCAGCTTTGGGATTAAATGCACCAGTTTTTACTAGTGACAATAATTCACAAGCTGCAGGTGACTCGAGTGCGGGGCTACCTCAAGTGAAACCCTTGGAAAATGGCAACTATCTTCAACGAAGTTTCAGTCTTGAAAGTTCTCGAGTTACACCTCACTCGGCCAGAGTGTCGTGTTCATCTTCCGCAACAGCTGGTTTGTACACACCATTTCCTGGATTTCAAATTCCTAATGAAACAATTATCCCAAAGGAAGACCCAGCGACAGTAGTGAAACGAAAACAGACAATCTCCGCGAAGGATGCCATTCCAGTATTACCGCGTCCAGTCGCCATTGTTTGTCTTATTTTGAACATTGTCATCCCCGGATCAGGTAAGAGCCCTTGTTCGCTCGATAGTATGGATTGATTAAACATTTATTCAGGGATGTCTTTTGAAGCAAGAAACGTTCTGACGATATTTCGTTAAACAGTTAACATCTCGCACTCGTTTGACTATTTAAATGTATTTCTAAGTATCTGACCATCGTGGATTATTTTTTTCTATTTAATCTTACACTCAATTAGCTGACACAATTACAATTTTAAAGGAAGTCTTAGCCACAAGACTTTAGCCGCGAGGCTACCATAAGGTCTTTCAAACATAAAATACAAGTCTGAGTCTTTTCCAAATGCATTTTTATGACATATCGTAAAAATTCTTATTCTCTTATTTCCCCTGGCTCTAATAGGTATTATGCTTTAATACATTTATCAGGAGCCTAGCAGGACTCAGTCTTTGAATTGCGTGCAGGGTAGGAAATAAAAAAAAAAAAGTAAAAAAAAGAATAATAAACAAATCGAGGAATAGACATTGATATACGGAAGTTTTCCGAAAATGTTTTTGTCGCTATTAACGTAAAAAAGAACAAATTGGCAAAAAATATACATAACAGACAAAAAATATAAAAGAAACCGATTATTGGAAAAATGTTTTTTTACAATAACAGTTTTTAAGTCACTAGACTTAGGAGAATTCGTTATTTGCCCATTAACATAATGTTATCAACATGCGATTTGTGTATCATGTCTACCGAATCATTTTTTCCGAGCAGCCTGTTAAGATTAAGATTGGAAATATTATTTCCGCTACATACAGCACAGACCAACCGTATAAACTCTTCCTCAAACTGTTTTTCTATTTCTTACGTTTTATTTCTTTCACAATGCTCAAACATTTGTAGTACTGTCCGTGATGAATTTCGTAATTATTTCACAATACAACTGTACTAATTCTCAAGTGCTAATCCGAAAGGCCTGATTACTTATTGTCTTTGAAGAAAAAATAATCGATGAGAACAAGATGTTTGTTACCATTGGCTGTCATTGACAGAATGTTCTCGCCTTTTTTGCACTTCATAATGGATGGCTAGAAGCCGCGTGCGATCATGAACTCGCCGCGAAGAAATAATTATACTACTGCGGTATTGTCAGAACAAGGAGAAATAGTGGTGAAGTTAATCTAAGTGGAATCAATAAAACCAGACAATTGATTTAAGGAGCAAGACGACAAACGCGTTAAATTGTAAGCAAAGCAACAAATCATTGGTGTTCATAGGCTCGGTTATCAATATTACACTGAACAAAAAAGTATGACAGATATTATAAATCCTATCAAGAAAGCAATGACACAGAAAACCGATAGGTGTGTCAAATGCCAATGTTCGAATTCTCTTCATATCATCACTCTCCTCCGAAAAATAAAAAAACTCGGGGTGTTACAAGAATTGTTTGGCAGCATTGCCTACTTTTTCCAACCATTCCCATTTCTCTTCAGAGTAATATTAGAGGAAACATTTCACTCCAGTTTGTAAAGACTGCAAATTTAAATTATTCAATTTGGTCTCTCTTTCCTTTACTTCATGTTTCGGGAAAATCTATTTAATTTTGCATTCAGTTAAAAGAATTCGTGCGTCACGCATCAAAAGTCATTATAATCTATTATCAGATTTAACCGCCGCGGAAGTGTTCCGGCTCGATAGAAATAAAGAAAATGGAATAAATATCCCTTTTTCTTGGTCTGAGAGATTAAAGTATACCAAAATGTATCACGTGGTATCTAATGTTCGTCATTGTTGATTAGGACGCCACAGTCATCCGTCTGGTAAAACTGGTAAAACTGGGTCTAAACAGGAGCATGACATACTTGTGAAAGTACAATTTACGTTGATAGTATATGAAAAAACAAATGCCTACTAATCGCGAGTCTCTAGTTATCTGTACTTTGTGTTTCGTCAGTTGTGGGCTTTTGATCACCATTATCAAACATCTTTATTGACGACTTTACCACCAGACAATCAAAGAAGTGCGTTCGAATCCTAAAAGGAAGTCACATTGTTATGAAATGTTCAGATAATAAAGTATACGAAACGATTTGATTTTTACCCAGTGAGTCGGCTAGTTCCACAGCTGACAAAATGACTTACATTAGTATTATGACATCACTATAACGTATCTCATTAGCGGAGAAATTAACTTAATGATCAATAATCACGATAGGATTTCGCGACGAAACACTTTGTATGAAGAGTCGGTGAGAAGCCAGAGAGGGCGGAAAAGAACAAAACGCTGATCATGGGATAGAGCTGCTGCTAAAAATTACATTTCCAACGAAACTTTTGTGCAAGATTAGTCCTCCCAAAACAAAATTTTGGGAAAAAGACCTTTCTTTTTACTGGTGCAGAAATTTTTAATAAACTCCCTTTAAACATTGTGAAGAGTAAAAACATTCAAACGTTCTGCCGCCGAGCAAGACATTTCTTTTTATCTTAACTTTGATATTTTATCTACTATTTTAGGTCTTAATTGTGTTTTGGCTGAGTAGTCTTAGGCCGTAAATGTAGTTTTAAAATTCTAGTCTTTTATCTCTTTGGCATACAAAGCTTTGCTTTCATGTCCAAATTGAGCACTCTATCTAGGATGAGTCATTGCCGTTGCAATTGCGCATGCTCGCTGGTTTTCTCTAGTTTGAGCACTCTGGCATGGCTTAGACGATACCACAAAGGTTGGGTCGTTTGGGGTGACCGTCTCGGTTCTCCTCCATCCTAGCATTAGCACTGCACTGATGAGGCCCAGAAGGCCGAAACAGTACTGTCTGCAGTTAGTTATATATATAT